CGGGGACTATTTCCAGGGGCATGGTGGCATTAATTTCACCATTCTCATTTATAGCTGGAAAACACCTCCCTCAGGACAGGTGAGATTTTGGCTGATCCAACTGCCCAGCTTTGTCTTTCTTGCAGCACCTGACCCCTGACCAGATCTACCACGTCACAGTGATGCCCTGTTATGACAAAAAGCTCGAGGCCTCCAGGCCAGACTTTTTCAACCAGCAGTACCAAACCAGGGATGTGGACTGTGTGATCACCACAGGTAAGAGCCACAGGTAGTCAACTCATTCTGGCAGCCTCAGAGCCAAGGGTTTCCTAGTTTTACTGCCCCTTTGTTTCTGAGAGAGGCTGTAGGGGACAAATATCGATGTATATTTACACTCTAATAGTGCAAATCACACCCTGCTAAAAATACAGGTGCAGCCTTAGGTGCTGGGCTGTTTGTTTTCCTTTATCCCCAGAACAAGAACTATTTCTGGCTGGTTCTGTTCTAGGAGAAGTGCTGAAGCTGTTGGAACAAGAAGGAGTGTCTCTCCCAGATGTAGCTCCTGCTCCCTTGGATACCATGTAAGAACAGAACCTCATCCCAGTCCTGTTCTCTTTCATGCAGTGTTTACAGAGTTCTTCACTGAACTCCCCCATCTAACCCTGCCATCCCCCCTTGTCCTGGCACTCCAATTCCTGATGGGGCTCCCTCTCCACCTTCCCTGTAGCCCCTTCAGGCACTGGAGTCCCAAAAGCGCCACTTCACACAGCGTCAACACACCCTTGTCCTCTCCCACCTGCTTTTTGTTACACCACGAACAGAAAACAGAGGGGAAAAGACGATCCTCAGGTGTTTGCCTTCCCTTAGGGAACAACAGTCTGGAAGTGTCAGTTATAACAGGGAACTGAACATCTGATTACCTGATAAAGATCTCTGGGCAGCTACTCAGGAGAGCACTGGGGGCCTCCCCAGCCTCCTGGGGCTCCCACGTTCCTCGGGGATCGTCTGGCTCCAAACAGCACGTATTCCTTGGGAACTGGAGCCTGCCCACGAGCAGCCCAAGGCCTGTTGTTCTGCTTTATCCCCCAGCACGTGGAAAAGCCCATTAAGGTTATTATTACATTTGGCAGCGAGGATGGGCTGAAGTGCCAGAAATCCCAGGAGTTTCGCTGGGATAACCGTTCCTGGCAGCGTCCCTGGGGGAGAGGAGCTGTACGTGAGGGCAGACACACAGGGGGTGGGATGGGGCTCAGTTCCTGTAAACAACAGCAAATTAAAAATACTTCCTGCAGCCTCAACTGGGGCTTCAGCAGCTCTTCCACAGCAGAGATTTTATCTGCCAGAGGCAACAGCTTTGGCTGGGGCTCGAAGCTTTGGCCCTGGTTCAAGTGTTTTCCCCTCTGCAGCTGTCAGTGGGAGAATCCAAGTGTCACTGCCTGAGCAAGGCTGCAGAGAGATCCCTCAGCTCCTTATCCTCTGCTAACAAAAGCTATTGTTGTGGCTTCCACATGTGGAGCTGTTCCTGAGGAACACTGCCATGCTCTCTGCAGAGCTGCTGGAGCTCTGGAGTGGCAGGGAGATGGGACTGGCTGTGCAGGGCTGCAGTCCCAGAGCTGGTGGTAACAGAGTTGTTAAAAAACGTGGTGAACTTGAACCAGGATCCTGCTGAAACAGCCATGGAGGAGCAGAAGTCCTGGCACTGCTAGAACCCTGGGATGGTTTGGGTTGGAAGGACCTTAAAGCTCATCCAGGGACAGTCCCAGGGACTCCTTCCACTGTCCCAGGTTGCTCCAAGCCCTGTCCAGCCTGGCCTTGGACACTTCAGGGGTGGGGCAGCCACAACCTGTGGCAGGTGCCACTGTTTCCAGTGAGCAGCACGGGGTTAAACCTGCTGGTCTCGGGGGCTATGAACTGGTTCCCAGAGAAAGGGAAAAGCTGGAGCTCAAAGGGAGCTGCTTTGCGGTGTCTTCTGCTGTTCCTCAATCCCCTGGCCCTTTGTGTTTGTGTTGGCTGTTTGTTTTCCCAGAGATGCCCCTGAAGGTGCTGCTCTCTCCCTCCCCCAGGCTCAGCAGTGCAGCAGAGGAGCTCAGCACCCACCCTGGAGGGGGCTCGGGGGGGTACCTGGAGCACATTTACAGACACGCAGCCAAGGAGCTCTTTGGGATTCACGTGGACACCATTGAGTACAAACCTCTGAAGTAAGAACCTGGAAATCCTACAGAAACCACTGGAGTATTTTTGGAATTCTGTCCACTAATTATTGATCACAGAAAAAAAACCTTGTGTGAGGGCTTTGGGGCTCTGTTTACACTACAGTGAGACAGAAAACAAGTCCCATGAGTTTAGGCATTGAGGCTCATTCACCTGAGATTCTTTCTACCTTCCCAGTTCTAACTTAATGTATCATTTGTAATTAATTGTGTCCCTGATGAGCAACATTTATGTTTAGGATTCCCTGGTCCAGGAAGCAGAAGAAACAGTTCTGATATGAAATACGTGATAAAAACCAAATTACTTACTTTTTTTATCAGGAACAGGTATTCCCACTAACCTTTGGAGTCTGGAATCCTTCAGTCTTGGTTTGCTCCCTGGTTTTATGGCCCATTGCAAGTTAAAAATTCCCTCAGTGGCTTCAGGTCTGTCACAGTGAAAGGGCTCCCTTTGCTGAGCTTTTCAGGATTTATTCAGCACAGGTGTCCTTCAGCAAACTCTGCTCAGGTGGCAGCTCCTCAAACAAGCCTGGAGAAGGATCTGGAAGGAGTTCCTTCATATTTTGTTTGGGTGGCAAAGAACTAGGACAGCTCTTAAATAAGATCCACAGAGGACTTGGGTTTAGCTCAGGGCCCTTTGAAGTTTAAAATAGAAGTTCATTTGGGTAAGACATTTCCTCTGCTCTGGTTCCTCAGAAACAAGGACTTCCAGGAGGTGACTCTGCAGAGGGATGGGGAAGTGCTGCTCCAGTTTGCTCTGGCTTACGGATTTCGGAACATCCAGAACCTGGTGCAGAAGCTGAAACGGGGGAAGTCGCCCTATCACTACGTGGAGGTCATGGCCTGTCCCTCAGGTGGGGCTGTCAGGGCTGCACTGCTTTTAAGGAGGGTTTCCTGAGTTTTCTTTGGTACCTGAGGGGATTTTTCCCCTAAAATTGCCCAAAACTGACCATTACACTTTCAGAAAACGTTGCCGTGACTGGTGGAGAAAGTCTCTGCCTACCTGTTTTATCCCATTTTCCACTTAGTTTCCTTTCCCTCCCTCCTGGCTCTCTCGGAATCAGCCAGCAGGGAGCAGGGGCAGCTTGATCCCAGCCTGGGGTGATGCTGAGGGGCCACTTTTGGCACTTGGAAGCCACTGCTCCCTCCCGAGGGTCTGCACAGCCCCAGCACCTAACACTGCTTTGGGCAGCCTCTCAGTGCCCAGCTCAGCCCCCAGCACCCCAGAGCACATCCCAGGCACCCTTCCCTTGCTCCAAAGCTGTGGCTCCAAGCCTGGATGCACCTGGAGTGTGCTCTGACCCTTTTCTGGAGGCGGGAGATAAGGGCTGGAGCTCCTGGCGCGTTCCCAGCTGGCCACAGGCACAGCCAAGATCTCCCTGCCCTGTGGCCCTGCTGCTGGGAGATAACTGGGAGTAAACCTCCCTTCTGTTGGTGTTTTCAGTTCTGTAAGTGTCTGCAGAGTAAATTAACTGTAGTTTTTCGCTGGGTTTTTCCTGCTGAAGCTCAAGTCCCTTCTCCCCTCGCTTTCCCCCGTTGTCGCCGCAGGTTGTTTGAACGGAGGAGGGCAGATCAAGCTGGAGGGGGAAGCCAAGGACAGGCTGCAGCTCGTGGAGAGGCTGTATGAGTCCCCAGAGGCCGAGATTCCAGAGGAGAACCAGGCTGTGGCTGAGCTCTATGAGCACTGGCTGGGGGGCAGGGACTCGGAGAAGGCTGTGGGAACGCTGCACACGGAGTATCACCCCGTGGAGAAAGCAAACACGGGCTTCAACATCAAGTGGTGAGCACTGGCAAGCCCAGAGACACACCCTCAGTGCCTTTTGAACCCCAGCTCTATTTATGATTCTCAAAGGACACCTGAAGTTCTGTGAAATTCCTGCCTCTGGGAAGGAGAAGATGGGAATGGTCGTGGAGCCCACCACTCATAATTCCTTCAGCCTAATAACTATTGAAGTGATGTAAATAAAACCCAAACACTGACTTAAAACACGTGTTTAAAGAAGCAGAAATGCATCCCAGCCTCTGCACAGTCTCCGTGGGCTGAATCTGCCCTCCCTTTGCCACCCTATTCCTACCAGAAGTTATGAATTTAAGGTGCCAAGGGATGTGGCTCAGGGCAGGATTTGGCCTCTCTGGGATGGGTTTATCCTGCAGCACAATATTCCTCATCCAGGCCTTGCAGCATTGGCACAGCACCCACTGTTATGGCTGCCTCTGCTGGAACATCCTCATTTAATTAGCAGTGGCCTAATTAGGCCTTGGGGTTCTACATTTCTCTGCCCCTGGGGGCAGCTGCAGGTTCTGTGCCCTCAGGAGGGTTCCAGCAGCCTGGGAGCAGCTCTGGGGCTGCTTTGCTTCCTGCTGAGATGGGACTGCAATGAATGTTGAAGAGAAACCTTGGGATTTTGTTTCCTTTCATTATAATAATAATAATAATAATTATCTGTACTGTGGGCAATCGCATCTCTCTCTGTATCCAGCCCAGGGATATCCATACCCTGGGCACAGAATTCCAGAATCACTGAGGTTGGAAAAGCCCTCCCAGCCCATGGAGTCCCCGCTGTGTCCCCAGCCCAGAGCACTGAGTGCCACAGCCAGGCCTTCCTTGGACACCTCCAGGGCTGGGGACTCCAAACCTCCCTGGGCAGCCCCTGCCAAACCCTTTCCATGAGGAAATCCCTCCTGAAATCCTGAAGCAGTGACGCTCCCTCAGTTACAGACCTTGACCTCGGGGCTGGAAGGAACCTTCACCTGCCTGTGTGTCCTCAGAGCCCCCTCTGCTCCCTGTGCAAAGCAAACCAACGGTGCAGGTTACATTTTTAATGGTTTTAATTCAAAGCTTTGCATTTTTCAGGTGTTGATCAGTCAGTGAATTCACAGTGTTCTAAGGCAAGAATCTCCCACTGCCTCCCCCCTCCCCACCCTCCTGACGAGCAAGGTGGTGGTTCCAGGGGTGCTCAGCACCCAGGCTTTGGCTGAACCATAAAATTCCATGGCCAGGGAGAGGTGCCAGTGCTCCCACAGAGCCAGCCTGGGGTGCTGGGAGCGCAGAGGAAACTCTGTCTGCTGAGCACATGCACGTCAGGCCAGAAATGCACAATAAATTAAGCTCAACCAGCTGTAAATTAAGTAATCAGGGCTCCACACTTTGTCTCCTCCCCAGTTTCCAGGCTGCCAACACACATCACAAAAGCCACCCAGAACACCCCCAGATTCCTGTCCCTGGGTGTTCCAGGTGGCTGTTCCTGCCATGGCACCAAGAGCAGCTGGAATTTCTCCCAGCCCTGGATCTGTGGCCCCGGGAGCTCAGGGGCAGTTCAAAGTGGTGCATCCCTGCTCCCAGGGCAAACAGAATTCCCGAGGAACACCCAGCTGCATCTACAACTCCACCATTTCACTGAACTGAGGAACTCTGAGGCAGCAGGACCGAGGCAGCTCGAGCAGCAGATTAATCCCTCCCTTCTCACCTGGGAGAGTAAATCTAAACTATTAATAAAAGGCAAAAAGGAAAACCTCAGCCCAGTTTGCAGCCAGGGAAGGAACAGCCTCAAACCAAACTCCAGTTCACAGCCCACACATGAAAGACCCTGAAATCAACTCTATTCCAGTGCTGGGAGCTGCCATCAAACCCCAATTTTCTCCACAAAAATTGCTTTACTAGGCCAATGTGCCTCCTCCCAGCTGCAAATAAAACTCTGCACATTTCTCAGACCTAAAAAAAAAAAATAAAAATTCAAATACAGCCCTGATGTTGCACAAACTGGAGGCTGAGCAGGCCTTGGGGCTGCCCCCTGGCTGGTGGAGTGAAGGCAAGGCAATGTCCGTGGAGTTGCAGCCAAGTGGTTTCCAGTTTTTTATCTTGGAAGAAAAAAGCAATGGACGTGTGGCAGCCTAAAATCTGTCACCCCTTGGAAAGCCTCTCGCAAATCCAGGGGTTTCGGGCATTCCTGGACTCCACTGAGCACACCCCACGTGGGCTGAGGGCTTCCAGTGGCTCCTGAAGGCAGCGGCTGTTACAAATCCCTACTAGAAAAACAGGGGAAAAGAGGGAAAAACCCACCAAAACCCCGCTGTGCTGAGGGTGTCTGTCAGGGCAGGGCTGCAGCTGGGTGGGTACCACGGACACCAGTGACACCAGTCATTCCCAGCTTCCCTTGGCTCTCCGAGCCTCTCTGCCTCATCCCTGCCCATCCCGGGCCTGGCAGGGGCCCAGGGGCTCCGGAGCCACGTGGCTGCTTCAGACAATCCCCTGGGAGTGGGATGCAGCCCCCAGGCCTGGCAGGAGGACAGGCAGGAGAGCCTGACAGCCTGGTGGGTCACAGCACCACAGTCCCTGAGCATCCCCCCTTTCCCATGCTTCTCCTTAGCTCCCTTCCACGGGAACGGGGCTGTGGGACGGGATCTCCTGTGCCCAAACACCTCCCGACCCTCTGCCAGCAGCAGCAGGGGGGTCACCACAGCCTGGGCTCTCCTGAGGCACCCAGGTGCTCCTGCTCCCCAGGGACCACCCTGGGAGCCGCACACGGAGCCGGAGGGAGAGCAGAGCAGAGCAGAGCGGCCTCACAGAGCGGGTTAAAGACAAACACCAGCTCCCAGCTGGGAGCGAGTCCGGGCTGGGCACGGCCAGGAGGGACCCCCGGCACGGCAGGGACGTCACTTCTTGTCGAGGAAGGGGCTGAAGAGCCCCCAGTCGAAGGCCAGCATGGCCGGGGGGTTGGGCCTCTCCTTGGGCTTCTTGAAGTTGTCCCTCTCGGTGCGGAGCGTCCTCAGCACCTCCACGGGGTCCGTCTGGCCCGTGAACCTCTGCACAGGCTCCTCCCTGCAGGGACAGCAGCTCTGCTGGGCACTGGGGGGCAGGACGGGACCCCTGCCCCACCCACACCGAGATGGGACACGGAGCCCCATCCTGGTGCTGCAGAGCCCCATCCTGGTGCCAGGCACTGCTGGGGCACACAGGCCCTGTGCTGGGCACTGTGTGGGACCCCATGTCATGTCCAGGCTCCCTCCCCTTCCCCAGGGTTTGGGATTCCCAGCGGTTAGTGAAGCTACTGGGAGAGGGGATGTTGCTGGAGGGAACGGAGGAGTGGATTTTGGGGGCCCTTCACCCCCCCAGGCACTGGCAGTGCTTACATGACCCTCAGGAAGGGGTTGTAGAGAAACTCCTCCTGCAGCGTCGAGGGCACCGTGGGCAGGTCCTCCTCATCCCGCTGCTGCCGAGGGACCAGAGACATTGAGAATCCCGCTGGCATCCGACAGCCCTGGGCCCCAGCCCGGGGGGCACGGCCACTTACCTTGGCCCAGGCGAGTTTCTCCTTCACCATTTCATTCTCCGGCTCCACTTTCAGGGCGAATTTGAGGTTGCGGACGGTGCATTCGTGGCCACAGAACACCTTCTGTGGATCCAGCGGGAAGGACCCGGTGTCAAAGCTGCTCCAGGGGCTGGATCCAACCCATCCCCGCCACTGTGCCAGCCCCCAGCCCCTCCTGACAGAGGGGTCCCTCCCAGGGGGCTGGGCTGTGGCACTCACCGTGTCCTTGGGCAGAGCCCCCAGGGTCTGGGTGAGGTTCGTGTACATCTGCTCCGCTGTCCCCTCAAAGAACTGCCCACAGCCTCCCACGAACAGGGTGTCACCTGTGGGAAAGGGCTCTGGGCACGGAGGGGACCCTGGCCCCGTGCCCAGGGAGGGGTGCCAGGGGTGCCCCACACTCCGGATTCACACCGTGAGCGCCAGGTGTGGGGGGACAGGAGCACACGGGGAGCGTGTCCCGTGTCCCCAGGACCCACGGGGGGCACGTGGGCAGGGTGGGATACCTGAGAAGAGGGCGGGAGCATCCGGGGAATCGTCCTCCCACATGAAGTAGCACATGTGGCCTGAGGTGTGGCAGGGGGTGAAGAGGCACCTCACCCGGATGGCCCCGAACTGTGGGGGGAGAGGGGTCAGGATCCCACTGAGGGGACAAACAGACCCCTTGGCATCACCTGCCCGGGCTCAGGGGGTCACTGAGGTGACAGTGGTGGTCTGGATAAGGCCTGGGTGGCACATGCACCATGGCACTGAGCAGCAGTGCTGCTCCATCGGCAGGAGATTCCTCTTCCATCCCAGCCTCAAATCTGCAACCACTCCGGGGCACAGGGAGCTGAGCACAGCCCAGCAGCGCCCACCCAGGCCCCAGCACGGTGCCACCCCACAGGAGGTTGTGCCATTGCCCCATCACACCAGCCCCAGCCGCCCCAGCAGGCAGGACCCGTGTAGGGGTCCGAGCCCCGGCCGCTCCCACAGCCACGCACCGTGAGCTCCTGGCCGTGCGTCACCGCGTCCGTGAGGGCCCCGATGCGCTGGTCGGCCCCGAACACCCTCAGCCCCGGGCACAGCCGCGCCAGCTCCTCGTTACCCCTCGCGTGGTCCCTGTGCCAGCAGAGCAGGGAACGCTCAGGAAAGGGAACGGGAAAGGCCACGGCCACCCCGACCTGGGCACACTTACCAGTGGTGGTGGGTGGTGAGGATGGCCCTGAGCACCACGTCCTCCTTCCTGATGATCTCCAGCAACTGAAAGGGACCCGGCGCAGTGGGACGTGAGTGGGCAGAGGAGGTGACCCACCCGTGGCTGGGACAGCTACTGTAGGACCTGTCTGACCCAGCTGAGCAGGGCACCAGGAATCACCCAAAACCACCTGCTGAGCAGCCACGGGCTGACGGGGGTGATGAAAGCTCGACCCAGAGCAGAGCAGGTGGGTGGGAACACGCTGCTCCCGTGGGGAGCGGTGGCATTTTAGGGCCAGTGATCCCACAGAGGAGCCGCGCAGGGAAATGGTGGCCTCGCAGCCCCACACGGGGCTGCCAAGCCCGGCCCCGCTGCCAGCAGGCTGCTCCTAATGCCAACTTAACATTCAGGGCCAGGAACAAGCCCTCCGGCAGCTCCCGATTACGCTCCTCGGAGAGGAAGGAAACGTCCGAGTCAGCACCGAACGCTTAAAAACCGCGACAGCGTTTGCACGATGCGCAACAGCCCGGGCGGGGGCACGGGGGGTCACGGCGACCCCGGGCACTGCCATCCCCGCAGTGCCTCCTGGAACGCGGCACTGCCCGTGGGAGAAGCGCTCCAAAGGGTTATCCCGGGTTATTCCCACGCGCTGTGGGCTCCGGCTCCGGTCACGGCAACGCGGAATCCCCCCGCAGCCCAGGGGTGCGTGGGACAGGGGTCCAGCACCCCCCACGCTCCACCAGGGATGAAGGGGGCCGGTCCTGCTGGTGGGATGCCCGTGGATACAACCCCGCTGTCCCACGGGCACATCCCCCGCGTGGGACCTGCAGCCCACCCGAGGGGGGGGCGGGTCCAAGCGCATCTCACCCTTTTGGGGACCGCGGCGTCCACGGCGACGGCGTCGCGGGTGCTCTCGTCGATCACCAGGTACATGTAGTTGTCCTCCAGCACCGAGATCACCTTCACCTTCATGGTCCCGCACCGGAACGGCCGCGGGGGGGGCGCGGCAGCAGAGCGGGGGGCGGGGGGGAAGGATGCTCGCAGCAAAAGGGGGTGCGGGACCCCCGCCCGGCCCCCGCCGACCCCCGGAGCCCCCGCGGGACGCGGCGGTACCTGCGGGCGGGGCGGGCGGCGCGTCCCGCCCCCGCCGGTGCGGTGCGGGGCGGATCACGCAGCGTGGGGCGGGGAGAGCCCGCACGGCCCTTCCACGCACACACCGCACACACACACACAGTGTGGATCCCGCAGCGCCGCGCCGGGAAAGGAAGGGGAAAAGGGAACCTCCCACGGTGACACCCCCCACACCCCGTGCATCACCCTGGGGTCCCACGGACCCACAGCCCTGCTCTGGTGCCTCTTCCAGCTGGACACAAATCCTGGTTCAGGGGTGACCGTGGTCCCCCAAGTGGGACCATTTAGGTTGGAAAGGCCCACCGAGATCGAGTCCAACCATTCCCCCAGCACTGCCAAGGTCACCACTGACCCATGGCCCCAAGTGCCACATCCACAGGGCTTTTAAACCCCTCCAGGGATGGGGACTCCACCCCTGCCCTGGGCAGCTGTGCCAGGGCTGGACAGTCCTTTCTGTGAAGGAATTTTCCCAATATCCAACCTGACCCTCCCCTGGCACAGCTGGAGGCCGTTCCCTCTCCTCCTGTCCCTGTTCCCTGGGAGCAGAGCCCGACTCCCCCTGGCTCCCCCCTCCTGTCAGGGAGTTGCAGAGCCAGAAGGTCCCCCCTGAGCCTCCTTTTCTCCCTTTCCCAGCTCCATTGCCCTTCCAGCCCCTCAAATGTCCTTCCTGTCCCAACTGCCACATGTGCAGGAGGGAAGTCGCTCACAGCAAAGCAGCTGAACCTGCTCCCTTCTCCTTTCACGAGAAAATACACTTGTCACAAGACCTCGAATAAACCCCTAGAAGATCCCAAAATGCCATCTGCTCACCCCAGGATTAGGTTGAAAGACGCTCCCAGTTGTTTGGCTTCAGTCACTTGTACAAAATAAATCAATTCATAAACCTGGGGGCTAAAGAACCCACACACAGCTCCATTTCCAGCTGTTATTTATTTCTCCTCTAACAGCCACTCCAGTGTAGCAGCAAAACATTCCAGTTCAGGAGGCAGCAAAGCTTTAAGTACCACTTTTCATTCTTAATTTACATAAAATTTAGCATTTTAAAGCAAATAAAAACCTGGTGCTTGTACAATGCCATGCAGGAGGTGTTGGAACAGCAGGCACAGGGACACAGGTGGTTCCAGGCTCCAGCGTGGCATCACCTACCGTGTGCCAGGGAGAGGGGGAGAAACAGACACCAAAATCATCTGAATCTTTTCAAAGTTTCATCTGCAAAATATTTGTTTGAAACAATCTCTGGTCCTGGAGCAGGTCTGTGGTACAGAGGAGACCAAGGAACCACGAAGAAAAGAAAATGAGGAGGAAGAAGAAGGATGAAAGATGCAAATGCCATGTGGGGCTGGTCCCACCCTGTCACTCACACCTCTTGTTTAAAGACCCCGAGCTGGAGGACGGGAGCACAGAAGGGGGTGACCCAATCACCACAAATCTGCATTTTTTTCCCTCCAAAATTCACCCCATTCATCCACTTGGACACGCTATTCCCTGCTGGAAAAGCAGCCCAAGGGGAGCTCCCTCCCTGCAGTTTCCAAGCTGGGGTCCCACAGCTCTAGTCATACGACCCTGGAATGGTTTAGGGTGGAAAGGATCATAAAGATGACCCAGTTCCAACACCCTGCTGTGGGCAGGGATGGCTTTTAACCCCACGGACACCAAGAAACAGAAATCTGCCACCCTGATGTGGCTTCTGAGCCCTGTTCAACCAGCACCACGTTGGCACCTTCCCCAGTTACAGCCTCACCTCCAGGGCCTTTCCAGAGGCTGGGCCAGGCAGGGCTGAGGGTGGGGGATGGACCCCAGCAGGACATGGCCCAGCACAGCTACTGCCCCCAGAGCTGCTCCCCAGGGCAGCTGCTCCTGGCTGGGCACAGGTGACAACTGCTCACCCACCCTGTTCCTCACAGAGAGGCACCAAAATCTGCTCAGGGGCCCCCCACTGCCCAGCTGGGACACCCCCCCTCACCAGGAGTGGATGCTTCCTGGGATTTGGAGCCATCAGCCAAACCCCCGCACCGTTTGTGTGGCACTAACACAGGGAACTCACAGGTCACAAGTAAGAGCAGGGAGCAGGTCCATGCAAACAGGCTCAAGACTGAAAGGCTGTAAAGCAGTGCAGTGCCTGGGAAAGTCACTGCCATCCATGCCAGGGAAGGTCAGGGAGAAGGGAGAAGCTGGAAGCCATTCCGAGAGCCAGGCTGCCCCACGTGGCTCCCAAATTACACCCTGAACTGGCTCTGGCACAGCAGGTCTGTCACTGGGAACTGGTTTTAGTGGGTCCAGAAGCGACACTCAGAACGTTGCAGCAGCAGCAGCGTGGAAGAAACTCTACAACTACTGTGTTTGGTCTCTGCTTGACACAAAGGCACCTCAGCCCCAGTCCCACTGTCTGCATCCACATCAGGCTCCTCCAAAACTCACAGGAGCTTCTTCCTAAACCCCAGGTTTGATCCTTGCCAGCCCAACCTCAGAGCCTCACACCAACACCGGTACCAACGATCTGCACGTGACACGAGACAGCTCGAGAGACAGCAAAGAGAGCGATAAATATTCTTCCCTGTAATATAAATATGCCGTAGAACATCTCAACAAGGGGGCAAAGTGCTTTTCTCTTCCTCCATTAAAACAAAATAAAAACCTAGACAGGACTGTCTCAACCACAACAGAAGGTTTGACTCCTAGAACAGGCGAAGGGTGGAAGCGCCGGCAGGACCGGCGGGCGGCGCGAGCGATGCTCAGTCCCGCGGCACTCGGAAGTTGTCCTTCTCCTTCCTGATGGCCCCCATGGCGCGGATGGGGTCGGTCTCCCCCGCGTGCTGCTGGACTGTCTTCTCCCTGCCATGAGGGAAGAGCAGGACAGGGGGAAAAAGAATCTCAGCTGGGAAGTCACAACCGCCGCGTGTCGCTGCATTGGCAGGGAAAAGCTGCACGTGGAGATGGAAGAGCCGGGGCTGTGGCACCGGCTGATCAGCTCCCCTGGTCTAAAGGGAACTGCAAACACTCTCCTGCCTCCAGCAGCACCTTCTGCTCTGTCCCTCTGCCAAACTGGGCTTGCTGAAGGAACATCCCCGAGTCAGGGATGGATGCTCAGCACAGCCCTCAAACCCAGCGAGCTTCTGCCAGCACGGCCAGTGTGTTTTAAACGAGGGTCTTGGAGGCATCAAACAGGAATATGAGAGGCAGGAGAGCAATTCCCACTTATGGCTCTTTCTTTGGAGACCTTCCCACATCCCTGCTCCCAACACAAAGACACTCCCACCCCCACCCCCCCTGCACACCTCACTCTCATGAAGGGGTTGTAGGTGAACTCCTCTGCGATGGTGGAGGGGATGGTGGGCTCTCCACTGTCGTACTGTGCCTGCAACAGGGAATGTTTGGTGAGCAAGGAATGGCCTGTGCACAGCAGGAAGTTTTCAAGGAGGGTCACATCTCCACCAGGAAGCAAACTACCTTCTCTGGGCACAGCCAGGCCCTGCTCCCTGGAACACAACAGCTCCTGCCTCTCAACTCCCACCCTCTTTCTCCCCAGCACTGTCTCATCTCTCCCCCCTCCTCAGCAAGGCTCCTCCTCCACAAAACCATCAGGTCCAGGGAAAGGATGACCCAGCTCACCTTGGCCCATGCCAGCTTCTCGTGGATATTGGCGTTGTTGGGTTCAACGTGCCGAGCAAACTTGAGGTTGTTGATGGTGTATTCGTGCCCACAGTAAACCCTCTGGGAAGGGAAGGAAAGGTGACACTGGGTAACTCTGAGGGTACAAAGGTGCAGTGCCAGGTGCCACCACCAGTGTAACGGGGCAGCAGGAACAACCAAGTCAGCCTGAGGGCACGTGACACTTCCCACTGGAGACGTGCACGGGACAAGTGCCAGGAGCTGCCAGCCAGGACTCCCTGCCCATTCAACAGATGAAAGAGCCCCGTGTCCCAGCTCAAGAGCCTTCAATCAGCAGCCCCTGCTCTTTCCCCACATTTGGGGCAGGCACTTCCTTCCCAGAGGACTCCATCAAAGACAACTCCCCGAGTCATTTCTTCCACACACAGGGAAATCTCCCTTTGAACAGCAGTACTATTGGGAAGGCAGTTTCTTTGCTGCCTCTGGTGGTTTCTGGCTGGTTACTCCCACAGCAGGAGAGTTCCTACCGTTCTGGGGTCCAAGCTGCCCAGAATCTCGATCAGTGCCTTGTACATCTCCTCGGGGTTCCCTCGAAGAACTTCCCACAGCCAGCCACGAACAGGGTGTCACCTGCCAGGGAGGGGGACGTGGCATCAGACCCACACCAGGCTGCTCACAGCACAGCCTGGGCACAGGGTCCCCCAGGGCTCAGTCCTGCCCTTGCTGCACCCACCACAGCAGCAGAAGGCACAGGCACAGCCAGGCTGCCCCACACGGGCTCGGTGCCACAAAAACCCACGTGGCAGGCACAAAACCCCACAGCCTGGCCAGGCACACCCTGCCAGCACCTCCCCACCTGTGGGCAGCCTGCTGTCCCCTCCTGTCCCTTCTGGAGCGGACGAGGAACTCTTTGCTATGAAGTTGAACAAAGATGAGTCACCTCTGCATTTCTCCCCAGTGCTCCCTAAAATCTTGCTTAAGCCATTACCTCTTCCATGCAGCAGCTGGTGCAAGCTCTGGAGAACACCCAGCAGGACAGGGATGACCTGGAGTCTGGGGAGACTGGGCACAGCCTCAGGGAAGGGGGCACCCTGCTCCCCACACCAGGATCCAGACCCTGGCTGCCAGCAGTGCAGCACCAGCCCTCCTTACTCCTCTATTTGCTCCTCTCTCAGTTTTGTTACAGACACGAGCACAGATATATGGAAAAGCAACAGGTTCTGGGATCAGCCACTTTGGCCTGGGACAGGAAACCAACAGCTCTTTGTTTCAGGGAAGAAAATGCTGGATGTGGGACTCATCCAGGGCTCGCTCCTCATGTCGTTTGCCCTGGTTTCCAAACCCAGATGGGTTTCACCAGTTCCACCTACAACTCCTACTTGGCAAGGGGGGCAAGACGTGGATGTTAAAGCAGCTGCACTGGCAGGAAGGGCTGGGTGCACAGCCAGACTCAGAGGCACCCAGGCAGAGGGAGGGGCTTCTGTCTTTGCAAGGGAACCTCCCAACTCCTCACCTGTAAAAACTGCAGGTGGCTCGGAGCTATTTGGCTTAGTCACATAATAACAGATGTGTCCAGAAGTGTGACACGGCGTACTGAGGCATTTCACATTAAGAGATCCCACCTGAGAAGAAGGCAGAAGACTGGAGCTTAAGCTTCTGTTTGCTACCCATCGGATGGTTAGAAAAGAATTGCAGCTATTACAGTGCTCTAGTGCTCCTACAGGCCCAAGCTGGCACCAATCTGGCCAGGAAGCATCAGCTCTGCTCCTGGGGAGGCCAGTGAGGGAGGTCTGTGGCAGGGACTCGGGAGGGAGCTGTTTCCTGCAAGCAGGTGCCGGGACAAAGAACTGCCAGATCCTTTCATTTCCATGCAGAGGGACTCAATGCCCGCTTGGCAGCAAGAGCCAAGAGATCCAGAGCAACACAAACCCCTAAACAAAGCTGATCAGGCGTAAAAAAAGCTCCAAACAACAACAAAGCTGAAGGGAAGAAGTGGATGACGCTCAGGAAAAGGGAAGGATTAAACACAGGCTCATCCCCACACCTTCCCCTGTGTCCCTGTGCTCCCTCCTGTGCTGCTGCCCCCCAAAGGTGCACCCCAGGCCAGCAGTGACATTCACGCCAGTTTGTGTCATCTGCCAGCTCTCCTGTAAACAAACAGCCTGGTTCCAAGCCTGGTTCCAGCCAGGCCTGCTGCTCTAGCTCTGGAGAAGCCAGGCAGGCAGCTGGCACTGCTGGCCCTCTGTCCCCTCAGCCCGTGTTCCAGCCGTCATTCCCACAGGAACAGCGGCTTTGTTCAGTGCAGAGCATGAGCCCTGCCCTGTCACACGGCTGCTCTGACCCCCAGGAGCACAGCACACCCAGCATGTCCCAGCTGCCTGGGCCATGCCAATGCTCTCAGCAGCCAAAACGAGACGGGGGTGTCACAGAGCACAGGGCTGGAGAAGGGGGAAAGCTGCACCTCAACTCCTCCAGCCAAGAGATGCTGAAATGCCAGAGAGCTGTGAGCACACACTGCCTCGGGGCAGACCACACCTGTCCAGCTGTGACACCACAGGAGCTGCCCCAGCAGGTCCTGCAGCTCCCTCCCTTTACCTTGAGTGCTGTCAGGTGGGACACCTTCTGTGTCAGAGCTCCCACTCTGTTGTCTCCCCCGTACACGTGCAGCCCCGTCTCCATCTTCACAAGCTTCTCATTTCCTCCAGCGTGGTCCCTGGAACATCAGGAAAATGGATTTGGGAGGGAATGAAGGGAAATTGATGGTAACTTATATTGCAAGGGTAATCTCCAGGTGATCACCTCTGATCAGGCACTCCCCCAGTATCTAACACTCCTCACATTACTGAATAAGCCATGTCAACATGAGAGGAGATAATTTCTCCAGTAATTAGGGCAGTGAGAGAGAGGAACAATCCCTGAACAAGTTCCTGCCTAGTTGGCAAACACCAGCCTTAGGGGCTCACAGACAGTACTCTCCAGTAACCAGGGTAGAGAGAATAAGTGGGATACGTAATCCAGAGTCCCACAGGACACCATGGAGCAGGCACACAGGCATCCAACAGCTCAGCATTCACCTGTGCTGCTGGTTGGTCCAGATCAGGGCTGGCTCTTTGGCTCTCCAGCCACAGAGGTTGCTCAGGTTCAGCACTGCCACAGCAAAACATTCCTCTTTGCACCCCTGGCAGAGTTAATCTGCACCTGGATCCTCCCACAGCTGCTGGCTGTGAGCAGGACACCTCAGGGGCATGCCCTGGCACCTCAGTGCAGTGTGCTCCCTCCCACAGCCACAGCCACCTCCACACCCAGGTACTGCACTGGCCACCCGGGAGGAATCAGCATTTTAAAGGCTGAAGGCACTGGCACACAGAGCTCACGGTCTGGGCGATGCATCTGCTCAAGCAAGCCCAAGGGAAGGAGCTCTGACCCTTCTCCTCACACCTCAGCTGCTGCTTAGAGATCCGTTTGATCCAGAAAAGCAGCAGCTCCTGGCTGCCTGTGTTTGTGCCGAGGGATCCCAGGGCAGGGGTGGTTACCAGTGGTGGTGGGTGGTCAGGACAGTGGTCAGCTTCACGCCGTGCTTCTTCACTGCATCCAGAACCTGCGGGCACAGGGCACACAAGGGCAGTTACACCTCCCCTGGAGTGAGTAACCTGGACACAGCAGAGCTGTGAGTGCCACAGCAGCAGCTCTGCAGGGAGCTCATCCCTCCCCAGGGGGTTCCAGAGCAGGGCACGAGGGCTCTGACCCAGCCAGCGACTGAGCCCTCAGTCCCATTTCCTCCTTTCTGCTCTACATCAAAGTAAGGGCCAAACCCCAGCTGAGGTCAGGGAGCCCTGCAGCCAGGGCCAGGCTGGCTGGGGAGGCAGCGTGGCTGTGAGCCCTGCCTGCACCTCTGCACAGCCAGTATTTCCTGCCCTTCCCCACGCTGAGTCAGCGCGTCAGCGATTCCCTCGTGGATGCAGCAACCTGGAAGGACGTCCCAGAGCCCCAGCGAGCGCTCTGCTCACAGGGCACTGTTACCTTCTGGGGGTTCACAGGGTCAACGATGGCAGCCTCCTTGCTTTCCTCATCGATGAGGAGGTACATGTAGTTGTCTGTGAGGGCTGGCAGGATTTCCACCTTCATGTCGGCTTGCGGGACCGTCTTGGGCTCACGCCGCTCGTGCTCCGTGTGCAGGAAGAAAGCTCGCAGCTGGGCTGGACCTGGGCACCCCAAAAACAGCCACACCTCAGCCCAGGAGGGCCAAAAAGTGGGACAGAGCACAGCAAGACCCTTAATCCACAGTCCCAGAGGAGGGAGGGTATGGACAGCCCAACCTGCCTCCTCCAGAGGAAGAGGAGCGAGGCCACCAGAGGACAAAGCCTTGGAGCCTGGCAGTGTCACCTTGTGCCCCTCAGCTGTCCCCAAGGGGGATGGGACTCTTTGCTCATGCAAGGGAAACACTGTGCTTGGATCAGAGAGGTTTCAAGGGGCAGGAAAGCAGAATGGAGAGGGAACAGCTGGACAAAGGTCAGCCTGGGACAGTGACTTTGGAAAAAAACCAACAATCACAAAAGGCCACGTTACAGCCAATGGACAAAAAGGGGGGAGGGGGGAAGGAGAAATACAGAAATACAGGCACTGCTACAACAGAAATATCGGGTTTGTTACTTGGGGAAGTGACATCCTGCACAAGCCATGGACACAAGTCAAGCTCCCCATTGAAGGAGGGCTCCCTGCCTGGCCAGGGAACAGGCACACACAGGGCTCTTGCTCACAGGCTACCCTGAGGCAACAGCAGTGGAACATGGAAATGTTTGCTTTCGGTTAAATGTTTAATCAGATCCAAGAAGCAAGCTCCAGAGGCAAATAACCTGGGCTGGCTCCACTGTCCAAGGCACAGATTAACAGCTCTTAAAGAAATGACCAAGCCCTACGAGGCTCTGCCATAAAAAATTAAGGAAGGGAAAGGAAGAAAACAAGGTCTCCCATTGCTGGGGGTCTGCAGTTCAGACCTGGAAAACAGGAGTCAGACCCTGCAGGTCAGGAATCATTGCCTGGACACCACCAAGGTGTTTGCTCACCCCCAGAGGTGGCTGTGCTGGCCTGAGCTGTGCTGGCTCAGCCCTGTTCCATTCTGCACCACCCACTCTCCCTGAGGCTCCCAACACTCCCTGCTTGGCCACCTCCTGCTATCTCCCTGCCCCACTCTCCCAGAGCGGCTCAGGCCTGCCCAGCCCTGGTAAGAGCTGCTCCAGGGAGAGGAGCCCACAGAGCTGCAGCTCCGTGGGCTGATGGGGCTGGAAAAGTGAGATCCAGCCCTGGCAGGAGCCAGAGAGCTGCTCCTGCTGCAAACCCAGCCCACAGCTGGCAGGGCCCTCTGGTGCAACTGCCCAGAGCCTCTCCCCCTTCTACCTCCACCATCCCACCTGCTTATGAGGGAAGGGAAATCAGGGGGGGAGATGGCAGTAAAATTAAACACTGTGCTCAAGAAAACCCCAAGGCAGGATGGAACAGGCATGCACTGGGTACTGATGGTGAAGTATTCAGGAAAGCATCCATACCTGCCAAGTGTTCCTCTGGAGCAGAAGACTCCTTTCAGAAAAAAGAACAACACAAAAAAGCCCTTACTATTCCTTGGTAGGAAAAAAAAAATTCCCACTCCCTAACACAGAGCACTTCTGGCTGCTGTCAGTCACCAAAGCTGGGTGTTTGTTTGCATGCCAGACACTAACTGGGGAAAAAAACACAACCAAACAAAAGAAAACACAACCTTAACTTCAACTCAAAGGAATTATTCAAATACTTAAAATGCTTCTTTCCTGTGAACCACCTCTAACCTTGGCCAGTATCCCAAAGCCTCTTTGCATGTTTAATTCACAATTCTCACAAAACAAACAAACAAGCTACGCCACATAAGGAAATGTTTTCTAACATGTAATTTCAACAAAGGAACGAGAAAACATCCACCAAGAAGGAAACTCACTCCTTGTGAATTCCCATCTGCAGCTCAGCTGCACCTTTCCAGCCTGCCCAGTCAGAGCAGAGCAGGAGGGCCCTGCTCTGAGAAGGACGTGTTCTGAGAGCTGGTTCAGCTCAGGGTGTTCCCCAGGTGATGCCCAGCCTCTGGCCCAGCACTGACTCCCTGTCACACACACAGCTCTGCTCCAAAATTAACGCCCAGTGACTTCATTTTCGCTCACTTTTGTACCACGTCCCCTCAGACTGCAGGCCTGCAGCAGAGCAGCAGGGAGGGCAGAGGCAGCAGCCCCTGAATCACACACTTGGCCTTCCTGGAACGGCTCCTCAGCACAGCTGGAGTGGCCAAGAGGAAAGGGTTTGCAGCTGAAGTGTTAATGTCATCACAAAACGCAGACGTGCTGCATGCAGACTGACAGAGCAGGTTCCCTTGGAACAGGGCTGCTTCGTGCATTTCCTCCAGAGCACTTTGGGTTACTCGTTTCATTACATAAAAGAGTGGAAAATTCCTGTGTCAGACGAGGCTGTCACTCAGACACGACTGCACGCCCAAACCCAGCTGCAGAGCCCTGCACTGCCTCACAAGAGACGCCACACTCACACTCTGCATGCCGGTATTTTTTGCACACCTGGTGGGTTCAGGCTCCTCACAACACCAGGTGAGCTGGTCCCTAAAACCAGGGCAGCTCCCGGTCCCACTCGACCTGCCCACCCTGCGGCCCAGGGAGCTCGGGAGCTGCCAGGCACTCGTGTGACAGCTCCCAGGACAGCAGCAGGGGTTCCATGTCTGCAGTGAATCCCGATGGATTCTCGCTCATTTCTCCAGTTCTTAAACCCGGAGTGATGCAAAAGGCCCCTGGCAAATCTTCCCCGAGAGGCTCCGAAGCCTAAGCCCAGGCTCTACGTCAGGGCAGGGAAACAGTCTCAGTATTTAGGCCCGAAATGGAAACGCAGAGCTGGGGCAGTTTTGGGGGCTGTTTACATCGCCAACACAACCTGTCACCCACCGAGCCCAGCTCGAAGGCCAGCCCTGGCCCCCCGCCCCGCTCCCCGAGCACTGACCGGCACTGCGCAGCCCGGGACCTCCGCGGGGCCTCCGCCACGGGAACCGCGCACGGAACAGCCGCGGCAGCTGCCCTGCCCGGGGCTGTGAGTCAGCGCAAACCCGGCACCTCCGAGCACCGCCCGCAGCTGCCCCGGGGCAGCGCACACCGCCCGCGGCCCCGCCGGGGCTGCCCCCGCCGCACGTACCGGCTCGCAGGGCGGCCCCCAGGCCGGCCGCGACTGCCAGGGCGGCGCCGAGCCCCCGCCAGCCCCCGCCGAGCATCGTGCGCCGCGCCCCGCCCGGCCCGGTTACCTTCGCTGCCCGCCCGGCGCCGGGAGGCGGCGGCAGAACCGGCCCGGCCCGGCCCGGCCCGCAGAGCGGCGGGGGCGGCGCTGCGCCCGCCCGGCCCCCCCGGCCCGCCCGCCGCTCGCTCGCTGACCCGGCCGAGGAGGCGGAGGAGCGGCGGCGGAGCGGCAAGGACAGCCCAAGGGCGGCCGCGCTGCCCCGGGGAGAGGACGCGCCGCGGCCATGGCCTCCTCCAAACCCCTGGCCCGTTTCTGGGAGTGGGGCAGGAACATCGTGTGCGTGGGGCGCAACTACGCGGAGCACGCCAAGGAGATGGGCAACGCCCTGCCCGCGGAGCCCCTCTTCTTCCTCAAGCCCTCCTCGGCCTACGTGCGCGAAGGGTCGCCCATCCTGCGGCCCTACTACTGCCGCGACCTGCACCACGAGGTGGAGCTGGGGGTGGTCATCGGCAGGAGGGCCCAGGCCGTGCCCCAGGAGGCTGCCATGGAGCACGTGGCGGGATATGCCCTGTGCCTGGACATGACGGCCAGGGACACGCAGGCGGAGTGCAAAAAGAAGGGGCTGCCCTGGACCTTGGCCAAGGGCTTCGGCTCGTCCTGCCCGGTCAGTGACTTCGTGCCCAAGGAGAAGATCCCAGACCCTCACAAGCTGCAGATCTGGCTCAAGGTGAACGGAAAGCTGAGGCAGGAGGGGGACACCTCCTCCATGATCTTCTCCATCCCTTATCTCATCAGCTACATCAGTCAGATATTCACCCTGGAAGAAGGGGACTTGATTCTGACGGGGTCCCCCAAAGGAACTGGGTCCGTGGAGGCCAACGATGAGATAGAGGCTGGGATCAGGGATGTGCTCTCCATGCGGTTTAAGGTGGCCCAGCAAACACGGCGATCCTAAACCAGGAGCCTACCTGGGACGAGGCTCTTTGGGGAACATTTGGTGAACAAACATTTCCGTGGCCCAAGTGCTGTGTGTGCTTCTCGCCTGTGCTGATTTGAGCTTTGCCAGTGTATTGCCTAAAAAGAAAAATTTTTGATCAAAGTGGTGATGGAGGAGGTATCTGTGTAACAGTAAATCAAGAACTGCAGCTTCACAGAAAGTTTCTTGGGATGTTCTACAAAAGAAAAATGTTTGATTTTTTGATTAGTTTTACAATTCCTCCTGCATTTTCCAAATGCACAAATTAAATGAGGATGGCTTTTCCTCCCACTCCAAGGGATGAATGCAGCAGGAAGTGTGCCAGATGCCTGGAAAATTGGTTTTGTCCTAAGCTGATCTTTAAATATGTTCTAAAATTGAAATAATACAAAAGATCGAGAATAAAGAGGCTCCTGGGTAAAGATCACCAGTAAACTTGTCTTTGCTTTTACTGATTTCAATCCAATTTTAATAAAAATGTAACTGCAGCAATTGCTGTTACTTTGACAATGCAGTGCAGCAGTTGGAGCTTTTGAGTATTTCCAGCTGCTCAAAGCCACGCTGTGGAACTTTCCCCAGCCCCAAACTCCAGCTGATCCAACACTCCCCACCACTTTGCATGACAGCGAGTTCCCTTTCAATTCCATGGAGCGACAGAGGGAGCTGTAAAATATAATTAAAAAAATCCTCCCCACACAAACATCAAAACTTAGCATTTTCAAGGGTTGCACAGAACTGACTGGTTTCTGACAGAAACAGATGGAATAGGTTTTTTACATACGTGCAAGCACCAAGTTAAATGCTTCCATTTACTGGAGTCACATCTTAATAATTGCTAGGAAAGGATTTGTTCTGAAAAGTGGGGAGTTTTACGGAGAAAATTCCTGTCTCCCAAAGTCAGGCACCTCTGTGAGAGCTGCCTGGTCCAGGGAGCTGCACATCACACTGTGAAAAGAAAGCAGAACGTTGCAGAATTAAAACAGACATCAGGGTGAACAATTCTGGAAGAGGAAGGATGGAATTAACTTTCTGTCTTGTTTCCATTTCCTCGTGCCTGTCAAACATTCCTGTTACGGTGACAGCAGCAATGCATCATGTGCAGTTGGGTCTCCAGCCCTGCATTGACAGCAGAGCCAAGCTGGGATTAAATTATTGGAAACATTCACTTCAGAATCTGAACTGCTATGGCTGGAAAATGTTGAACCATTTATTGCTACAACAGGGGTGCAGTGACCCAGCACTGGCAGCATTTTTTGGGGTGTTTAGTCCCTTGTTCCCACCTGTGGGAGAAGGGGATGCAGTCCTGGGGGATTCTCGTCAGAATTCACCGTTTCTGTGGCTGTTTGCTCTGTTGCTTTAAGGGTAGGTAGGGCACGAGGGTGACCCGTGTTCCTCAGGGTGTCCCAGCATAACAAATCCCTTGCAAGAGGAGGGCTGTCTGAAACAGGCTGAGTCCCAACGTGCTCAGAAGGTGAGGAAACACATCAGTGGCAGGGGAATCTAAGGACAGAAATAGATTAAAAATAGGGGAAAAATTCACAGAGAAAGGCAAAATATACACACCTGGGTTCTTTATGGCCAGTGAAGCACAGCTACTTTGGTGAAGAAGAGTCCTCTCCTCTGTGCTGCTCACAGTCTCAGCTGATGGTTTGCTTGTCAGAGGGCACTGCTAATTGATGACTGATTTATAAGCCTTAATCTGTCCCAAAGAGAGTCACCTCTTCTGTTGCCACAAGTTCCATGTTTGGACTCACCAAGGTGCACCACAAAGCCAGGCAGTGTTTCAAAGTGGGTCTTTATTTATTTAAACTAACGCGAAAGTAGCAAGGCAATTAAAACACAGAAATCAACAGATCTGTCTTGACCTCTTTGTTATTTCTGATGTTTCCAGAGGTCTCAACTGAGTGAAGAAACCTTCCACCCCCCTTGGAAGGGGTTGGCTTTGGTAGAACTAACTTTTAAGCTGAGGCCCAAGTTACTTTCTGCAGTAGAGTCACCTGAAGAAGATCAACCCAGAAGCCCATTTACAGGTATTAGTAATGCTTATTCCTTCTCTACCATCAGAACAGACTTGGCAAAACCCGGCAACAAAAGAATTCCACCTCTAATAGCGCAGGGAAGGAAATGTTTTCCTAGCCATTGTTAATAGCACAACCTCTTATTTCCAGTCTCTTCCCAGCAAGCTCTGAGTCGCCTCCACGGGATCTGCCAGTTTGCAGGAAAGAAGATTCACTTTCATCCCAGTTCTCCAGTTGGGTGACAAAGTAACCTGGAAAAATAATTAGGGGTCTTTGTTTTCACTGCTGTTCAGCACCTTGGCCTAGATTATTTTCAGATTCACAGCATGATTGACAGATGGATCCATATTTTACACTATATACCTGTCACTGCTGAAGAAAACATTTGCTTTGTCCTGGAAATAGGGACAGAGGAGGGGGAGATGGGAGAGTAGGAACACTTTTGCTAAGAAGGGCAAGTTTAAAAGTGAAAAAGAGCCCCTGTTTTAAATTAAGATTAAATACTAACTTTGAAATAAATCTTGCTTCGTTCCAAAAGAAGTTGCCATTTCAGTGCAGTCTTCTGGTCGTCTTCCAGCATGAGGAATTCATGGACCTGTTAACAGGACGCCACAGAAACTTCAGCATGTGATTACAACATCTCCACAACAAACTGATGTTGAAAAGAGCATCTTACACCATTTTTATACACTTCTAAGCTGTATTTTTCTATTTTAACATGGTGTGATAATGTACCCAGGCAGTCAAATTAACCAGAATAAATTGAGAATCAAAGTTAGGGATTTCCAACCACATTCTCAGAAAAGTGTGAATTAAAATAAAGCAATATTTTGAATTGGGTGTTCACTCTTACATTTAACACAATTCTTATTAGCAGCTGCTGACTTCTAACTTTGGACTTGTTGGAAAGCTCTGTGTATGTCTGTACATAGGTGCAGTTTTTTAAACTGTTGTACACACACAGAGAGAACATTGACATACATTTGTAATTGTTATCAGGCTTCACAGCACAGCTCAAATAACAACCTAATTCCTCCCTACTTACCGTGCAGCCTAAGGTCTCCTCAGCCACACAGTCAGACAGGTAGCAGGAGTGGAGAGTTCCTGTGTGATCTGTCACATCCACAAGGATGTCAAAGCTTGCAAAGGTTGACTTTGACTCTGGAGAGACATCACTGCAGAAAGTGCAAGTGTTTGACATTTCGTTCACGACGAGCCGGCAGATCGAGCTGGAACATGAGAAGGTAATTAATGCACATATGCAATTCCTCCTCGCTTGAAACGTTTTTCTAGGCTGAAATTTCCCAAGAGACTTTGTCCTTAAAAAAAAAAAAAAATTGGTCGTCTTCTAAACTTTCAAGTCTGTCTGGGACAAAATGGCCTCTTTTTTCTTGGCTCTAGGACCAGAAAGAGCAAGTTCTTCATGGAGCCAACTCCTCCTCCTTGCTACTTGAGGGAGTCTACCCAGCAGAAATCCACATGGCATCCTCCAGAGGAGCTTTATTTCTTTTCCAGAAATGGACTAAAATAGTGTTCCATCTCGTTTGGGTCAGGGAAGGAGGACAAGCAGTTTTTAATACAATTTGAAGCAGTTGCTCACCATCTGTTGCGCATAACTTTGGACACATTATCATCAATGTCCAGGGTGGAAATGTAGCCATAAATAATGCCATAGACAGGGTCAGCTTTCCCATCACCCTGGAGAGCTTTTTCCTTCAGCTGTTCCACTGTATAAACATCAACTATAGTCTCCACTAAAATAAAAGACACGTTAAGTGCGTCTGAGAACGAAAGAATTCAGAAGAGCAACAGCAACAAAGGATCTGAAGGTAATAAAAAGGAGAGGATTTGATCTAAAGCATCAGAAAATCCCCCCACACCTTCTTGTTGAGAAAGTCAAGCAAAAGGGAACTAAAGTCAGGAAAATATCTACTATTTAATCTTTGTATCCCTCAAAATGAGCTTTTGACAAAAAAACTTTCCCTCTCATTTTTTCGTATTTATTCAGGACAGAAAGAACACACCAGACAGGCTGCAGCTGGCACAATCAACTGAAGATAACTCATTAATAAAATAAGGGACAGCCCCAGTCACAACACTGCAGATTTAAACACTGAGCCAGGCTGTACCTGAGCTTTGTTTCTCTGAACACACAGAGCAAGAATTCTTTCAGCTGCACTGTGAAAGCACAGGATACAGTTAAATAAAATCAGTGTCTGCATCCATACTTACAGTTCATGGATTCATTTGCCTGCTCCTTCATTCCATCATGCAAAGCTCCTGACTGGGCACTGTCCTTGATGAAGCTGAAGAGAACATTTGCTTCTGCTGTCTCTGAAGATGTATTTTTTGAAGTTTATTAGGATACGGTGCATGGAAAAATAACAGCAGCATTATATTTTACAACTTTGTGTTCTGGTAGCACCAACACAAAGTTGATCCTCTTGGAATCAGCCAAGAGTCACTTTTATCCTTTTTAGTTTAACTGTTGGTTCTGCTTTGAATATGTGAAGACTGTTTAGATAAATAAAATAAATCAGGGTGGAAGCCAAAGGCACTGGTCATTACATATCAGACAAAAAGCAGGGAGCTTTGTGAGACAAACAAGCAGAAGAAATTAGACTTCCAATAGATTAATTAATGCATTATAGCCTATAATTATTATTAATACCAAAGCAGTACCTGGGTTAGTTGTAATGATGGTTTTGGATATCACAGTTGCAGTCATACAGTTCCTGAATTTGTCAAAATTTATTCTCACATCTGATGCAAATATAACTGTGCACAAAAAAACCCAACCCTGTTAGTGTAGAATAAGTATGACATTAAGAACTACAGTAAAAACAAAAACCAGACTGTTATACCTGTTTCTTGAGGGATCCAACTCTGTGCCAGCTGGATGGACTCGTTATCCCAACTAAATTAAACAAAAGTGAACATATCAAAACATTTTTGAAGGAGCACTCAAACTGTTTAGTACTTAACTACTAAATAATATAGTGAAAATAAAATTAGTCAAAGGGGAGGTGACTGCTTTGTTACACACACATGCCAGTGAGATTCCATGTGTATCCACAGGATGCTTTCTGGGCAAGTAACTTCTCTGTACAGTCTAAGCCAGGCCTTATTTTATCCCATGCCAGGCAGGATAAAATAAATGATGAAATGCAGAATATACCTGATAAAATGCTGTGTGTGTTTCAGAACTGTGATAAAAGTAATTTCTAACTAAAGCAAATCCCAGCTGACGTGTTTGTCAGCTGAGCCTGTGCTGGGGGCCAGGCTGATTGCTCAGATCCCCTGGCCAGATGTTCAGCCACTTTCCAACACTGGAATCTTTGTAGCTGTGCATGAAGAGACTGGAGTGAGGTCAGTGGTATCCCTCAAAATGGCAATTTCATGCTTAGGTCCCTTGATAAAATCTCATTCAGTTCCTCCTAAATGTGGCTGGCAAGGACACTGCCAAAGCACTGATTTGATCTGGTGGGGTTTTTTGCTTAATCCCTGGAAAAAGATTGTTTATTTCCATCTGACATTGCTCAGCCACCTCTTCACTGATAGGCTCTGAAATCCCTTCTCTACAACTCTGTTGCTCAAGTGCCAGCTCTGAAACAAGGCTGTTGGAGGTGCTGCTCCAAATTAACACTGGTGGCAGCCCAGGGGCTGGAAGACTTCACACTGTGGATGTTTATTTTGTGTTTGTGAGTATAAACTGTGTGAAACATCCCACTGATGGTAATACAGCTCACAGCTCACACAGTGCAGTGCTGTCTTGCTCCTTCTCTCGAGGGAACAAAGGTCATTTCAGTCATTTTTCAACCAACAAACAGCAAACCCAGGGCCAGTGATTCCCCACACCCCCACATGTCCTTGCACGTAGATAAGGCACAAGTTTATTGGACAGACTATGGGCAAAATGCAAATGTTCCTCTTGAATAAGTCACTGTTTACATGCATCAATGGTATGGATACAGTGGTGTTTGTAAACTGGGTAGAGTTTGAAAATATGGCCAAAGTTGTATGAAAATGTTCCTGCATGATTTCAAACGTTTTAAAACTGTTCCAACCTCTTTCCAATCCACTTGTTAATTCTGCTTGCCTTTAAACACAAAGCACGTCCCTCTTTCCCCTCCCCAGTTTGTGGAAGGAACACACAGCCTTTGCAGCTGGTTTTAAATGCCATTTCCTGAATTAGTTCAAATGTCCACATTAAAAAAAGGAACTATTTGGAGCTAAGCTTCATTTTGCCGTTCGAGAGCCAGCAGGCTGTCAGCAAGCCATAAAACTGCACAATATATGTGAGGCCACTCTAGTGCATCTCTTTTTAAGTCTCTTTTCAGTCTACATTGCTGCCTCATCACAGTTGCCTCCCAAATAACAATGCATTTAAATTAAAAACAGTGTTATAACAGGTGTGTGTTAACAGTTAATTCATGTACCTACTCTTGCATTAATTTGTGTCATTCAGTGAATAAAAAGACATTTTACCATACTATTGGAAAAGACCTCTCTGTTTCATCAAACAGCTTCACTTCACACCTCTGGCCTTTCCTTTTGTCTGAAGTCATAAAGTACTTTGGCTCCCCAACCTTTAAAAAGAAAAAAGAAGCAGTCACTTCTCCCCTACTAAGTGTTTAGGAGAACAAAAGTAACAACCTAGAAAATAGAAGAGTTTGAAAAATAGGGGAAAAAAACTCTGTAGGCTACTAAAAATGAGACCACTCCTGCTGTTAACAAAAATCTCAAAGGGTGTGTGTGGTTGTTGTCACTGCCTGAAGTGGCTCCAACCTGAACAAGCCACCCCACTGAGTCCTGTGTACTCTGAGGCCCAAAATCTGTGTTATCAGTGAAGTTCCTCTGCTGGGGCTCCCTGACTTACTGACATCACAGCTGCGAGCACGTTGAGGATTCTTCCATTGAGGCTCTGTCCGTTGGCAACGATATCCCCCAGGGAATAATAATCCTGAGGGTCCTTGACAGGCAGGTGCAGCAGAGAGAGGAGCCTGGCGTCTGCTTCGTAACACGAAGAGGTTTTGACCACTGAATGATTTTCACTGAGCAGTAACTTGTAGCAACTACAGAACAAATCACAGCATCAGCATTGCACTCACCCCTGTATCAACAGGGTAAAATGCTAATTCTTGTGAGAAAACAACTTCATTCCTTTATTGTTTCCCCTCAAGAAAGAGAAAGTTTGAGTAGACTTTACTCAAAGAATGAAATTTACTCTGCTTAGTTACAAAGAACATAATTACTTTATCACCATATACTGAGAAATATATTCCCCTCTGAGATTATTTCACCAGACATGAACACAGGGGGAAGGCACAGCTACACAAGAAGACTAACTCCAAATATTTCTACCAATTTCTGCAACTGGCTGACAACTAAAGCAAGTGTCAACTTTGATCTTTCTGGAAAAAACAACCACTCTAAATTTTACCTAGGAGTTACAGGGTTGAATTTTTCTTCCCTTTCTGCTTCCTTTGACTGGATTAAAGGATTTTCGATTGTAACTAAAACAAAACATTGATAAGCAATGTTAGTGATGCTAGAAAATCGCTTCTAGATACATAGAAAGAGAGATTACTCTAAAAATTATTGTTTTCAATGCTGCTTTGGAAAGGAGAAGGTGTGTGTAAGAACTACTGCCAAATGTTTTCATGCTGAAAGCCACAACTGTCCAGACAGCTCATGTTATGGCCCAAGTGCCCCACGAGTCCTGAAGACAAGTAGTGGAAACACAACAGCCCTGAGTTTTCGTGTGTGTGCTCTGCATGGTCACAAGTTTTACCCAAACAGCTGTAGGCAGCAAAGGCTTTCCATTAATTTAACAAGATAAAAGCACATACTGTAAACAAAGACGAGATTTTTGTGGTGGTTTTATGAACAATCATAGTCATATCTGTAACTAAGGGAGGACAAACACCAAACTACTTTACAGAGGTTATTTTTAATCATTTTTAAGAAGTCACTGGCTGCACTCAGTGGGTTTGTGCCTGGTCTTTTTGTTGACATATTTACTGGTTTTGAGTTTAAATCTTTGGAATCTTATTCCTTTCCTCTTTACACTTAACATAACTGAACAATTTGTTTCCAATTAGGCTGTTTTCTGAGTCCTCAGAGAAAAACACAGCAAAGCCACCAACACAAAACACCGGTTTACACGCACACAGAGACGTGGCAAGAACGAGCTCTGCCTTACCACAGTCCCCAACCCTGAAGCTTTCTGAGAGGGCTCTGATGTACTCCTCCCTGCCCCAGGCCTGCACGTTGATGAAGTAAGTCGGTGAATCGCGGATGGTGAAATTGAAGGTGTATCGTTCGGACCCAATGTCTGCAAAACCAAACAGCACTGTCACAGTTCTTAGCACAGCGTCACTTCTAACTGGAATATGTGTACAAGAACTACTCTTTCCATGCTCTCCTAGGTTTTGCCATGAGTTTCCTCACACTACAGGCCAGCAGGCTGTGCAGGAACACACTGGTGTTTGGGAAGGGGCTACACTTCCATGAAGGAGCTTTTCCAATTTCTAATTGATAAGGTTTAGCCAAACTAATGCTGCTCTTTCATCGTGGTTCTCAAACACACACAATTTTTGCATTTTTATTCTATACATTTTACACTGAGGAATCTGTTTATAATTTTAATATTGATTTTAACCATCTCTGTCAAATTATACCATTTAAGCAAGCGAAGTAAAAAGAGTTAAAAGGGACTGTACTTTTTCGGTCTGGAAAGCTTCTGACATCTGTTTTCCCAATAACCACACCGATTACATTCTGAAAAATAAAGAGATTATAGAACACAAGGATTAAACACAGATGTATATGATGAATTAGATTTCATGGAATTATACTCTACTGATTATAATAAACATATTTCTGACTGGTAATCATTTTAATCTATTTATTCCAGAGTACCACATGAAAACTAAAACATAAACACACGAGTTTACTCTAAGAAAAAATAGCCACTAATAAAAATATTAAAAGCAATACATCTGTTTCTGTTTGCAAAGACAATGGGAGGACAAAGGTTCACCTCAAGCAGTCACAGTTTTGGCTGTTCTACAGCAATCTCTCCTCAGGTAGGCAGCAGTGTTGTTGTTTCATGCTCTCTGCACAGGTCTCAGATCTCCTTAAATGCACCATGAAAAGTCTGGACAGGATTTATTTTGCAGTTCAGCATGCAAGGTTTCCCTGGCTGTCAGCACCACGAGACACACGTGTGCCCCCACGGGGAGGGCAGTCACCCTGGCCTCCTGTAAGCAACCTGAATTTCCACAGGTGCCTCTTTCCAGCTGTCTTTCAACTGGCAGCTGAGGCAAGGAACGTTCTTGGTGACTGAAACCAAAATCAATCTTATTCTGCTTTGCTAAACCTGTGTTTGTTATGTAAAAGCACCCTGGTCTGAATTATCAAACAAAACCACTGGGAGCAAACACAGCTGTGAAGATATATCGAGATATATAATAATAATATATAGCTGTGTGGTGGATTTTAGGGGTCTTTAAAGCAGACAGTCCTCAGTGAGAGAGAAGTGTTGCAGTGCTAGTTTGGGATTTAAGAGGTCAGCAATGAAAATTGGAATGGAATAAGGATGGAAGGACCCTCAAGACCATTTTGTTCCACCCCTCTGCCATGGGCAGGGACACCTTCCACTATTCCCAGGTTGCTCCAAGCCCTGTCCAGGCTGGTCTTGGACACTTCCAGGGCTGGGGCAGCCACAGCTTCTCTGCTCGAGCCCTTCTCTCAGCACTGCCTGTGTCATTCCAGCAGATTCCCAGAGTCAGCCAGCAAGGGCAGGAAAACGATCTAATAATCCCCCCAGATTAATTTTGTACCTGTTCACGAAGCAATGTGACCTGCCTGACTTCAATGCAACAATACTGACTCCTGCTCAGCTCTGCAGTTCCCTGTTCCCTTGGAATCACTAGAGGGAGCAAGGGAACTGCTTATCCTGCAGTGACAGGCACCCAGTAAGAGGACACCGTACAGCAGGGTTAGTGCATCTTCTGGTGGAAGACTTTCTGTCCACAGCCTGGAGTGATTTAGGTTACGATTTTATTTTTCTGTTTTTGATTTTGTTTCTCTAAAAAATGTTTATCAGTTAAATCAGAGCGCGTTGCCTGCATCTCACCACCAGTCAAAGGAACTGACATTTCGGATGGCTCCCCACAGGAATTAAGCTGATGGAAATCTGCAGCTTCCAAAGGAAATCTGCTTGTCCCTGCTGGAAATTCATTCCCCTCTCTGTCTCTAACACCAGGCCTGCACTGTGAGCTGGCAGAGGGAAGTGATCTGGCTGGAAACTATTTTGGAGGGAGGGGGAAGGAAAACTTCCAGAGATCATTTCCTTGATCAGCTTATTGTGCAGCTACTCAAGCACTAATTTCACTGAGGAGGAGGAGTAGAACACAGACCTTTGGAAGAGAGTCGTGCTGCCTCTTTTGGCAGAGCATTGCTTAAGGCTGCTCAACCCAATCCTGAGCTACACCACAGACACACTGCAAGTGTTTATACTTCAATCTATTTTACTTTTAAAGATAAACAGCAAACTAATAAACATTTTGATGCTTTAAATTATATCTGTTCAGCTGTTTTAACATCCTAAGCACACACTGATTGTTCTATCATGAATTGCTGTTACAGAAAAATATTTTCATTACTACGTGTTACTAACTGGAATACTCAAGATGAGTTTTGTTTGTAAATCAAAGCTTTTAACTGAGTTAGTGGATCGTTATTCGAGAGTAACTGTCAATGACAATAAATTAGCATTTCTGGAGAACAGGAGTTTATGAAAAGACAGAAAAATATAAAATATGACTGGGATATAAAACAGCTTCTCTTAGATCATCCCTTTTCTGTGATTTCTCTTTTGGTTGTTTAAAATAAAATAATAATAATAATAGAAGTTTAAATGTTGCCGCTCTCAAATAAAAAGTTGTGAAAACAGGAAAACTTGTTTTCACTCTCTTCAGGAGCAACCTGGTCTAGTGGAAGGTGTTCCTGCCTATGGCAGGGGGGAGGAACGAGGTGAGCTTTAAGGTCCCTTCCAACCCAAACCAGTCTGTGATTTTATGTCCCTTCCAAACCAAACCTGCTTTTCATTGCAAAGAAACAGAAACAATCCTATCTGGCATGCAACTGGGAGACCTTTATCGAGGTAAAACACCTCTCACTGAAGGTTTGAATAACTCAGTGTTAATAACGGACAGTGCTATGAGCTCAGAGGGACTGAGCACACGGAGTGGGCTCTACGTTCATAGGTGTGGTGAAAGACCTCTGATGGTCCCAGATACGTTGTGGCTGCATAAAGCTGACTCTGTCATGCCTTTACTAACTCAGCAGGCATTTAAAATGCTACAAAGAAGCCTCTGATGCGCAGACATTGAGCTGTCCGGTCAATACCTGTAGTTGTGGTACCCGCAGACTGTGGACAACAACAGCATCAATTTTCATTTTGCTGGTTTGCACACAAAGGAGGGAAGGTCCTCTCTGTCTGACGATTGCACTAATGCTCTTAGTACCTAAATCCATGGCAATTACATAATTTTGCAGTAATATAATACAGTCAGATAGTGTTTCACCTCGGAACAAAGGGACCATGTCTGTGAGACTTACAGGACGAGCGAGGTTTGGATGCAGATCTGAAAGTGCAACAAAGTCCCGTGCTGCACTAGAATAAGCCATTCTTCATCTGAAACTGGAGAAAACTAATTTAGGTTTTTTAAAAATCTAAACAAATCACTTCAGACTATTCACAGTGAGAATAACAAGTTATTTTTTAACACAAATGTTTTGACCTAATAGCATCTGTTTTCAATAAAAGCCATTTCAAGCCATCTGAAGTAGACAATTCTTTACTGTTTGGATTTGGCGATGGAAGTTATGAATTTTACTGTGACTACTCTACCTATGCTTCTCAAATAAAAGCCTGTGATTTTTATTTATTATTCATCATTAAATGACTCCATTAGCACCAGCCTCTGAAAAATATTTACCCTCCTTCTCTCTGGGAAGTCCAACTGAATTTAATGAGGCAGCTCATATAAAAAAGGTAATTTATATGTGAGGAAAGAAAAGCATTGGGTTGCAAAGCACCTTAATTGAGGTTTTGGACTTAATATTAAACTACTTTAAAATGTGGGTTTATTCCTTCCTTAAAGTAGAAAAGTTCTGAATTTATTAAAATAAAATTTGTGAAAATTAGTTCTTTCCGGGCTGCCTAGTCCTGTGAGCACTCAGCTCCTTTCTAGTGATGCCAAAGTGGGGCTTTGTTAGCCCCTCTGAATGCCTCTTATTATTTCATGGGTACCTCAGAGACATTTAGATATTTAACAAATAGTTGTCAGATTCTACTCTTTTTTGTTAAAGGAACCATCACGCTGTCCAAATGTTAATAACCTTTAATAGGGGAGAACTGCTGGATGCCTGTTCAATGTTTATAACAAAGTCCTGAGAGGCTTTTGCAGTCTTTATACCTGGCACCTTGTGTGAGAATTGTTAACCATTTCATCAGGCAACAGGGTAAAGGTCTGTTGAACTAGAGAAGAAATAGTCTACACTTTAAACAAGTAAGCAGTGATCTGAGAAAAAAGTGATTTCTCCAAGAGAGCATTTCAAACTACACTCTCACAGCAAACGACCCAAATTTGCCTTAGAGAAACCACTGAACAGTGGGTCCCTCAAATCTGTTCCCACACCATTAGATGGAAAGATTTACATTTCCTTGTGCAGGAAAGTCACCTCAGCATCCCTCCAAGGCATGGCAATATTCTTACCTCCGAAGAAGTTAAATATTGTTCAGTGCCCGTACCTCACACCAGCTGAGTCGGGTCAGGGGAACCGGCACTGGGAACACACAGACGGGAGGAAAATTAAAAACGGTCATTTAGGATTTAAAACGCAGCAGGAGCTGGCCCCACTCACAAACCCCTCAGGGACCCCTCAGCACATCATGTACCTCCTCACGGATCCCTCAGCTACCTCATGGACCACTCACCCTATCCATACCACCTCAGTTACCCCTCAACCTCCTCACAGACCCCTCGTGGATGGACCCCTCAGTCCATCACACGTTCCTTCAACCACCTCAGGGACCCTCAGTGCCCTCACAGACCCCACAACCTCCTCATAGACCCCTAGCATATCATGTACTCCCTCAGTTACCCCTCAACCTCCTAACAAACCCCGCAATCCCTCACAGACCCCTTGTAGACCCTTCAGTCCATCGCACCCCCCTCAAGCCCCTCACGGACCCCTCAGGTACACGAAGGAGACAAAATGGCGCCAGCGCGGTGGCGGGAAAAGGGCTCAGCAGCCCTGGCCGTGTGGGAGCATCCTCAGGGCCAGCACAGCGTGAGGGGAGAGGTTTTCCAAGCCTCTGGTGGCGTTCCTGCACTCAGCAGGATCACCCGTGGGTCTCAAGGCCCTGGGCTTGAGGAGGTAACACAGGGATAGATGGAAGATTGGGAAGGAATCCTAATCCGTCCCCGTGAGGGTGGGCAGGCCCTGGCACAGGGTGCCCAGAGAAGCTGTGGCTGCCCCATCCCTGGGAGTGTCCAAGGCCAGGTTGGATGAACTTGGAGCAACCTGGGCTGGTGGGAGGTGTCCCTGCCCATAGCAGGGGGTTGGACTGGATGGTCTTTAAGGTCCCTTCCAACCCAAACCATTCTATGATTCCATGACTCAAAGCCAACAAAGCCCAGGAGTCTGAAGTCAGGTTTGTTCTACAATCAGAAATGCCCACCACTAATCCAAAGCAAATTCCAGAACTCTTCAAAGAAACCATTCCCTACTTTCTTCTTCCTCCTTTTTTTTTTTTTTTCCACTAGCTCTAAAAGAAAAAAATTGCAGCCTGTATTTTATAAATGAATTAGAATTCATCTTTTAAAATATTATTTGTATTGATTTGCACCCAGCAATCCCTGAGTTTTCAGGCCCTGCAAGGAGCTGGATTGAGCCATTTTGTCAATTTATATTGCATATAAAATCCCTTTTTTATAAAATCAATACCCTTCACTTCTGCATCATGAAAAACTTTACCTCTGATGAGTAATTTTATAACCTCAAGGTCGTGGCTATTGAAGTTTTTAGTGTAGCCTGACAAATTCTCTGTGTTGACTCTGTATTACAGGACCTTTCATTTCTTCAATTAAACAGCTGAAAACGGACACCACCTGTGCTCTCGTATTTATTGTGCCTCTAAAGTCCGTGATAATTATCCCGTGCTGATGACAAACATCATGCCAGGGAACTGACAGCCTGGGGTGGGGGGTAGGTTACCTTTTATACAGTGTGATCCATGGATCTAACTTTGTCCTCTAGGTCTGAAGTCTGCAGTAAACAGAATATGGTATTTTTGTTAGTTATGTTGTTTTACTCATCTCAATCCAATGGACAAGCAGAATATAATGACCGTGGTGATGGGCTCCTAATCCAGTGGGAAGGAGAACACGTACACTGGCTGGAAAATGCTGTCAAATCTGCAATTCTCGTTCTTCCAGCCACCATTGCACAGTAAACCAGCAAAACAAACCTGAAACGAGACCTGTGGGGTGTCCACTGCTGCAGAAGGTGATAAATCAGGATCACAGCCCATGGACTTGCAGGTTTTGAGCTCGTCCAGCATCTCAGCGAGGTTGTGGTGGGACATAAGCACCTGCTCCAGTGGGGCCTTGCAGAACCCAGCTGGGATCTCATGCTGCTGCCGTGGTCAGCACTGCCATCAGGTTTTGTCCAGGCTGAGCTGCTTTTCTCCCCCGGGCACAAAGGGCAGGTGAAACCCGACCGTCCGGGGCCCGGCTTTGTTCCATTTCAAAGCCACCAGAACAAGAATCCTGTTGTGCGTCCCCACGGCCTCGCTAGACAGCTAATGATCCAGGGGGCTCGCTTTGTGGCTTAGCTCCACTCTTATTTTCAGAGTACATTCGGAAGAAAAAGCTGCTCTTCCCTTTCCCATGGCAGCTCCTGCCGGGCAGACGTTATCAGGGCCATCGTGACAGGATGCACAAAGGCAGTGCGTGTGAGACCGGAGCTCTTCCCCTCCGAGATGCGATCGGGTGCTCCATTTCTAACTCGCAGACGCTGTGCCAAGAACTGATCTGATGGACGGACCTGTCTCAGGTGTCGCTGTGAATTCTGCCATTCACACCTGGCACTTCGGGGGGAGGGCAGGGATTTGGACTCCTGCGGGTTACTGTAAAAAAATAACATCTTGTTTGGTGCTCGCCACAAACAAACGTGTAACCTGACTTTATCCCGCTGATTTACAACGTCAACTGATTCTCCCCACTAGGAACTTTTAGTGCAAACACTGAGGAGTGCCTACAAAAACAGATGTTACTCAAGTTTTCCTCCTCAGCTGACCCCAAAGTGATCTCTAAAAGAAATCAGCATCGTTATCTCCCTTTGCCAACTGGAAAAACAGAGGCAAGAGAAAGGCCACAAGCAGTTTCCTGAGGTCCCTGTACCACACAGGACCTGCTCCCCCCGCAAGCACCATCCCCCTTGGGAGAGCAACAGTATAAATTCAGTATTTTTCTGATCTAGTGCTTGATCCCTGAAAGCTCCAAGTGATTTTAAGTCTCCAGCACTTCAGCAGCACTTAGCACTGTCAGATTCAATCTGTGATTGGCAGAGACTTCCCATCCACTGCTGCAAATTGCCCAGTCCCTGCTAATTAGGCCTTCATGAATAGATTTATTTAAATTACCTTCATTGGCATGGTCAAATGCCATTTTGTAATTCACTTTAGCGATTTGTTGCGTGACCATCAGGGTTTGCATTCAGGGGAAGAGAGTCCAGCACTAGCAGAGATGTTTCAGAAATCATTTTCTAAAGGATCTTCAAAACCAGAGCAATATAAAAATATTTGCTCTGCAAGTTTTCTGCTGCCCGCAGCGTTTACTGAGAGGGCTCATTGAATATTTATACATTCTTAGGACCCAGAGAATTGGTAAAATGGAAAGGGCAGACCTGTAATTTTATGTAATTGGCTTGACTGAATGCATTAAAAGCAGCAAATTATTAAAGGTATTCAGTGTTCAGTGGCTTTGGCTGATACCTGAACTGGCTGAGCCTCGGGAGCGCTGATGGAGTAATGATGGACATCCTCAGGGGCAGCAGTGCAGGTGCTGGTGCAGCCAACAGGTGCTCAGTGCATTCAGGGATATTGAATCTAAATTTCTCCCTGTCACCTCGGCGAGCCTTTGTTCAGCTCTCACTTCCCCCCATCCTGGTGCCAGCCCTGGATTCATCCCAGGGCTGTTCCAGTGGGATTGCCTCGCTCCGAGCAGCTCCACAACCCCCTGCTGCACGGAAAAACACAACACACAGAGCCTTAATTTAAAATTAATGTCAACTGTGGCCAGTTCCCACCTCACCTGGGCTGACTCTGACTTCTCTGGGCCAGGGGAGATGCCAACACCTAAGGCTGGTGTATCCACACGAGCCTGCAGAGAGCTCAGCCCCCAATTCATGTGTGAGCCAACAGGACCACGAGCCAAGGGCTCTCTCTGCACAAGGAAAGCCCCACTGCTGGCAAAGACAAAAAAAAAAAACAACAAAAAAGGCATTTTAAAGGTGTAAATCTATGTGGGCCACGCCAGCCCTGCCCTTTCCAGCTGCCCGGGGAGGACAGCATTTTGAATCAACAGCTGCTCTCAACACAGCAAAGTCTCCCTGTTCTC